AGGTACTCTGATTAGTTAAGGATGAATATAGAGAGGAAAGATAGGAAAATAAAAAGAAAAAAGCATTGATATATACATACACAAACCTGTATTATTTGTAACTTTAGCATCTATGTTCTTTTCCTCCCCTTTTGGGGGATTTGGACTTCTATTGTTTCTAAGATCACATTATTTCTCATTTGTTTAATCAGTTTCATTTACTAGGGAGCAGCTGGTGGTGCAGAAGCTAGGCCATTTATTACATATCATAATTCTCTTGGAAGGGATCTCTATTTGAGAATTGCAACAGAGCTTCATTTGAAGAGAATGCTGGTGAGCTTTCCCTGTAGTTGCCAACTTGCCATTATAATTTCTTTTGCAGAAGATGTTCACATGAGACTACTATAACTATTTAGTTCTTCATGGAGCTAAATGTAAAAGTATGAGTAGCTGCTGGAACCATGATTAGTCCTGTGCATATGTGCACATAGGACAAAGAAGGGGAAGGAAAGACTCCCTATTTTCTGTTGTATTTTCCTTCCCCCTTACTTGAAGAGCTGTGGTTCTTCTGATTTCTTTGTAACAGTCCATATTTCTTGCGTAACTGCAGGTTGGGGGATTTGAAAAAGTTTATGAAATTGGCCGTATATTCCGCAATGAAGGCATTTCAACTCGACATAATCCTGAATTCACCACCATAGAGGTAATAGCTCTTTGTCAAAAGACTTCTTATTTTTGGTTTATGGGGCTTTAAAGCAAGTTTACAACTCCATTCGTAGAATGTATAATCAAATTATTGTCCTGCAAAATGATCATTAATCATTTCAATTGTTGGTTTTAGATGTATGAAGCATACTCTGACTATGAAAGCATGATGAATATGACAGAAGAAATGGTGACACGATGTGCCCTTGCAGTTAATGGGAAACTTATAATTGATTATCAGGTAAATACCATTTCCTCTGGATAATCTTCTTCAGTAGTGTTTGAAATTGGCGATTCTTCTTTGCAAATTCATGTATCTTCTCTGTCATGATTATTTCTGTTAACTAGCCATTTACAGGAATAGGTGTGGCAACCATTCTTATATTGTGGACCTAATACTGAGAATTGATTGAGCGTGCAAGCATCTGGCTGTGTTGTTATTTTAGATTTCCTCGGAAGCCAACCTAGTTCTTCCTTGATCTGGCTATAAGGATGCGCTTGAGAAATAGGAGGGATTATGTGAACTTCATCTTTCTCAATGGAATTACATGCTTTTGTGTGGCACCTTTTGTAAATTGCTACTGGGGTTGTTGCTCTCTGATTGTTACTGTTTGATGCTACTTTTTCCCTCTTATAGTTACTGGATATTGTTGCTTCCTGATGGTTACTATTCGATGCTAGTTTTTCTCCTCTTTGCTTATCGCCCTTCTCCCCCCTCCCCCCTCTTTCCTCCTCTTCTTCTCCCCTATTCTTCCTTTCCACCTTTTCTCGAGCCGAGGGTCTTTTAGAAACAACCTCTCTACCTCTCCAGGTAGGGTAATGTCTGCGTACTCACTACCCTCCCCAGACCCCACCCGTGGGATTATACTGGGTATGTTGTTGTTGTTGTTATGTGGCACCTTTTGAGTTTCCATTCCTAGTGCTGATCTTCCGTATTCGACTATCTTGTGCGCAGTGATATAATATTCTCTCATCATAACAAAATAATTTTGAATGGCAGAATAATGTTGGCCCAAAGATGGCCGGTTAAACATTTTTAGTTACTCTTTGGGGTTGACAGCTCTCCACATTTCTGACCTGTTTCCTTGAGTTGTAGCAAAGCATCTTGTCTTATTTGATCTTTTCCGGAGATCCCATGTCATGTCTTTTGATGTGCTGCATATGTTTACTTGGAGAATGTGTAAAATGATTTAGCACTAGTTATGGGTACATGGTCCTGTTACATATAGTTACTGGGTTGGACTAACTTTTTAGTGAATCATGAGTTTTATGCTTAATAGGTTTTTGGTCTCACTTTTGGTATTTCATTTTCCCCCCTATTACCTGTTAAAGTTTAATCTAAGGAATCAAACTTTATGCTTTCTTGCAGGGTGTGGAGATCTGCTTGGAAAGACCTTGGAGGAGGGAGACAATGCATAATCTTGTGAGAGAAGCTACCGGGATTGATTTTAATAACTTTGGTGATGATCTTAAAGCTGCTAAAGAACATACTCGTAAAGCGATTGCTATTCTTGGTGATGATCTGGATAAGGGTTCAATTGAAGCATGCTCTTCTGTTGGCCATTTGCTTAATGAGGTTGAATAATGTTCTTTAGAATCTTTGATATTCCCTTCTGCAGATACATAGAATTAGCAGCTTTAAACCACATATCAATGCGAGAGTACCTTTTTGGTTAAGCTGGTTTGTTAATGTGAACTTGCTTTGTGTTGTAACCATTTTCAGGTCTTTGAGATGATAGTAGAACCAAAGCTTCTACAACCGACTTTTGTCTTGGACTATCCTATTGAAATATCTCCACTGGCCAAACCACATAGAAGGTACTGAACCATCAATTGAATTCTCACACTAGCAGTAAAATGGACCTTTCTTTTGGCTCTCTTTTGAATGTTGAAACAACTTACCTGGGTGTGCTCTCTTCAGATATCTTTTTTTAAACATCAAGGATCTTTCTAAGGCAACATGTGCTCAATAGTTGAAGAAAATCATAAATTGTCAAACAAATAAGAACGAAAACCAAAGGACGTAGCAAAAAAAGGAGACACTCTTGTACTTCTGTTACAAGTAAATGTTACTGGCTTTTGCTTTCTGTGATGTTTCTAAATATTTGAGTTTGATGCTGAAATCTCCTATACATTAGAATAGGCAGAACACAATTTTTGAGGTCATGTCTAGTAGTCTTGGCTTCCGTGTATCATTTGCTTCAACTCAAAGTGATCTTCCTTTGTCAAAAGATGCTCTGCTGTCCTTTCAGCTATTCGGGTTCTTAGGTTGTTTAAATGATATGGCTTCTGGTATAAGCACTCTTTTTGCTGATTCTTGATGTCGTTAGAGCTTTTCCACTGTCAGTTTCCTGAAGTTAAGATTGGATCTTGTAATGTTTTGTTTCAAATGAATACTGGATTGTGTAATATATTACAAAAGGAAGCTGCTTGTATTTTTCACTTCTATTATACACATCGATTTTCTTGTTACATGATATTTGTTTTTCAGGCACTCAGGCTTAACTGAGAGATTCGAGCTATTCATTTGTGGTCGCGAGCTAGCGAATGCCTTCTCAGAATTAACTGATCCTGTGGACCAGGTATTCGGGTGTTGAAATCTTGAAACTGCTTGCTTGTCTGTATGTTTTAATTTGATAAAGTGGAAGAATCTCTTGCCACCCATATTATCAAAATGATGGATTGTCAATTCCTATAAAACAGGTGAATGGTTTTTCTTTTTATAATTTTCACCAATTCTTTTAGAGACGGATACTGGCTGTAATCAAGGCAATGACAGCAGACAATGACAATCTTTATTGTTGTGAAATGTCCTTTCCTGATTCACTTTTGTGTTTCTAGACATGCAGAGGAGTGTAAGCTGATATCATTGGAAAAAGGCAGGCACATGTGCTTTCTCTTGCTGAAGATTTCATACTTAGGATGCATTTCAAGTTTACATTGAGCAATTCTTTGGGTCTGAATTTCTGTGCATAAAACCTTTTGTGTTGGGGTTAAAAGATGAAGAATTTTCTTTTAAACATGGAAGAAGAGTTTTATAAAGAGGTCTGGGTTCTTCAAGCTAGCAAAATCTACTAGATTTGAGTTCCCTGCTTCGGAACTTATGTTTTGGCGATAAAAAGATGAAGGCTTTATTCTCAAGGAAGAAGAGTAGAAAAAAGTGGTTATGCCGTTCAAGCTAAACAGAATTTGTTAATAGGGCTTTCCAATCTCTTTAAAGATAACTCAAGATGGGTACAATAGAATGTCATGAAAGAGCATATGGCCTTATACCACCGATAGGACAGGGAAACCACTCTATCCCAGACACAATTCCTGTAACATTCTATCATGCTTCTTACTTGGAGTTACTCCAGATGTTCTAAGAATCTCCCCTAGTTGATTTGTGAGAATTGCTTGGAGCAGCATATATCATTTTGTTGCGCTTCTTTTAGACCTTCCGGTTGCAAATTTGCTTACCAATACTTATACTCGTGCTTGGCATGAATTGTTGGTGGGCAAAATCTGGGGCTTCTATGATTTGAATCCACAAACATCTTCTCATATAGCCATATTAGGTGGGATTTCCAATAACGCTGGAAAGCTGAAGCATTTGAAACCCAGTGGAAGCTATTGAAATTCCTATATATACTAGGAAGCTCATTTACATATGAAAACATATCAATGCTGTAATACATTCAAGCCTTATAACTTGCTTATATATACTGTTCTGTTGTAACTTGCTGCAGAGAAGACGCTTGGAAGAGCAAGTGAAGCAACATAATGAGAAGAAAGCGGCATCAGGTTTAAATAAGGCTGGTTCAGAGGGACAAGAGAACAAAGATGATAATGATGACTCGTATGAAGTAACTCTTGACGAAGACTTCCTCACAGCTTTGGAATATGGAATGCCTCCAGCTTCTGGAATGGTATGTTGAGCCAATCTCTCTCATGGAATTCATAGTTACTAAATGGTGCAGCTACCTTTGGTGTTCCGCTTACCTGTATTTCGTCTTACATAGATTATATCCTTTTGTAACCATAATATAAAAATCCAGCAAAATGGACAACTATGTGATAGTAACTAAATTTTCTCCTTAAATGCATACTTTTGCCCACAAATGAAACTTCTAGTTTTTGGTGATTTACAAGACAGGACAATTGAAACATTCTGTCAAATACACCATGTAATGATACAGTTTGCTCGATATTCTGGTCATATTCAAAATTTTGGATCAGCAAAAAATAAAGTATCTCATAAACTTGTTTATTATTTGAGTCATTTAAACTAAAGGATGGCATTCATTTTCAGGGACTTGGCATTGACAGGCTAGTAATGCTTCTGACAAACTCAGCAAGCATCCGCGATGTTATTGCTTTCCCAGTCCTCAAGATTCAACAATAGCTTCATGAAGAGTGGTTGAGTTGCTTATTACACAAAATTCGCCAATTTTGAGCCAGGATTGTTGCCTTTTCCTGAGAAAGTGAGTTTGAGCAAAAACGTCGATAATAATTTATTTTTTATCGTGAAAGATATAAGTATTCTTGACATCATTTAGAAACAAAGTTGGGGTTCTCAGCTTTCTTCATGTCTAATAGTTAGGGTTTTTTATGTTTCCTCAAAGTTTTGCCCCCTTTAAGATCCTTACTGTTCTAATAACAGGACATTGTCGTTTGTAATCTACCTAAAAGGTTTGGTCAACTGTAACTTGATAAGTGTAAGCACAATTCATTTTGTGGTTTTATTTGTCATTCTTGTACAAGGTACAACCATATATTTTGAGGGTGCTGGCGTGCTCCTTTCCACAACAAACCCGATAATAATTAAAATAATACTATGAACGAAAGATACACTCACACACGAAGGCTTTGGTTTTAATTTATATGATACTTTCTAGTTCCATAATTTTAGCTGCTGGACTTGTGAACGAGTCACGTACTACTTTAACGTTTAAAATAACAAACTCCTCCACCCCCCAGCCCCCTCCCCCTAAATAAGAAAATAGAACAAATGTTAGGGTAAAAACCAATAAAAATTTACATCTAACAATATTTTGTATGATACTGAGGCTACGCATGGAGTTTTTTAGAATTTCACTGTAAGATAGAATTGCACTCACTTTCCTAGTAATTATCGTAATTACACAATTTCCTCTTTAAATTTTGAAACGCCACATACTAATTAAGTAATTGTTTCTTATCTATTTTCTTGTAAGCTTTTTCCTAATAACTAGTTTCTTGGCACGTACGTTGCACGTGTATGCTAAGTTATGTAACATGCTATTTTATAAAATAATATTAATATTATTAAGATCAATATTTGAGTAAAAAATTAACATATAAGAATAAAGTACATATCTTGTGAACATACGTAAATTAGTATTAAAGTTTAATAGATATATGTGATTTTCTAACTTATTTTTATTTTAGGAAGTATAGGCTAAACTAAATGTAGCATAACAATACATGAGAGTGTTTGCGATCAATTTATATGGACGCACCTTATTTATTGATCATTTTGAAGATACTCACCGAAAACTTTACCTTATTCACAAGACCCCAAATGATTGTATGGTATATCTTAAAAATAATCAATCTTTGCACAGTGGCGGATCCAAGAATTAGAGGTGGCGGGTGCCATATTTACTTTAATCCATTGACTATAATATTTGTTAGAAATATATATCGGTTCAATCTCTTCCAAGTTTATTCAACTTAATAGGTTTTTTGTTTACAAATATGAAAATTACATATTTTATATATCAAAAAACAAATAGAACCAATATTTTGTACAATATATCACATCTCTATTATTAATAATACAAGAATCAACATTTTCATCAGTGGAATTATAGTCTTTCTTATAAATTAAAAATAAATTTTCACATGTAAAATTAATAGGTAAATTTTTTATTTAGAGAATCACACCGTCTCTATTAAAAAAAAAAATTCACAAGTAAAATAACATATTGGATAAGAGAACTACACCAATTCAGAATAAGAAAAATAATAAAATTATCTTCAATAGTTAAACAACACTCCATAAGTAAACGTAAATTTTGATAATTTACAAGTCCCCAAAACTCAAAACCAAAAAATTTATGGTTTTTTTTTTTGTACAATACGTATGGAATTTTCATTACAATTTAAAACTAAACAGTTTTAAACTTTACACAACCATAGACAAGTACAAAATTAAGATATGGTAAACAAAATAAATTATAAAAAATTAATTTGATCTCAATCCAAAATTCTCAACACCCAAGTTTTTCAGTTTTAAAAGAAAAAGGCTTAGATATTTGAGATTAAGAGCAATACTACTTTTATTTACCCACACTCAGTATTTACACCAAACTGTACTAATTTACTATGTCTACATCACACTCTTTGAGTGCGGCCCTTTCCGGACCATGTGTGAACAAAGAATGTTTTGTGCATCGGGTTGTCCCCTTTTTTTTTTTACCATGGTTAAGTGAGAAATTAGTATGAGAATATATATTTATTAACTATAGTTTAGTGTTAAATATTTCTTTAAATACATATGTCATATATTTATTGGATTGGTATAAGCACACAGTACGGATAAGTATTTACCTTGGAACATGAGCCCTACACGCAATCAAACCTTGCAAAACATTCTCACAACCATGACACATTTGTCTAGTTTGAAACTGCGGGTGGCAAGATTAACTATTAACTTTGTTTAAAAATAATTTAGCACACGTATATAAAAATTTTGCCAACCTAACGGGTGCCATGCGACCCTCACGTAGAAGGGTGGATCCGCCACCAGACTCTGCATCATTTACGTGAGAACTTCAAGCTTCTGAAGATCATCACTCCATGTTATGAGATAGGTTTTGAAGAATATGTTAAAATATTCTACTCTAAAACACTTTTGTATATATATGCTTAAGATGGTAATTAAATGTCTCCAAAAGAGTAATAAGCGTTCACTTCTTAAAGTAGTTGTATATAAATGAATGTCTAACGCTATGTTTGGATCATTGTTACCCATTGTTTTATAATATACTGTATTGTATCGTTTTATGAATATAATGTTTCGATAGATTGTATTGTTTCTTGTTGCCAAATAATATTTTGTTGTATCATACTGTACTGTAATTGATTAGTTTATTAAAATACCCTCAATTATTTTAAATATTATCAAGAATTACACATAAAGTAGTTAGAATTGGAGTTAAAAATAAATCTTATGCAACTAATTGGAGATAAAGTAGTTAGAATTGGAGTTAAAAATAAATCTTATGCAACTAATTGGAGATAAAGTAGTTAGAATTGGAGTTAAAAATAAATATTATGCAGCTAATTGGAAATAAAATAATTAGAATTGGAGTTAAAAATCAAAGTAGAAGAAAGAACAAAACAAAAAGAAGGCAAAACATATACCTGACGTTGGAGTTGGATGCGGCAGAATGAAAAAATGAATGAACATGTAGGTTAGGAGATTTGGATTAAAATAAAAAAGGGTAAACAGTAAAATAGAATTATAAAGTAATAAATTAGGACATAATTGAAAAGAAAAATAGAAAAAAATCTCACCATACCAAATTGGCTGCTTCAAAAAATGGGATATTTTATTATTTCGGAACAATGTATAACAACACAATACAATCAATTTTAACTAAACAATCAAAACAAATATTATTTTGGGATAATAATATAATACGATACAAGTGCAACAACCATCCAAGCAAGTTGTAAAGGTGATAATTGAAGTGCCACATCGTGGACAACTCTAACTTATAAGTATTATAGTACAAGTATTGCCCAAAGCATTAATATTTTATGTTTCTTATTAGAAGACATCAAGTATATATAAAAGATATTTTAACCTTAAATAAAACTCAAAATGATATAGTACTAATTATAAAGAAGTATTTCTCTCTATATTTCAGCTAGTTATAGCAACTTTCAAATTAAGCCAAGCTTCTTTCAAGGCAAAAGTATTCTTTTGGTAAAAATTGCTTTTTTAAAAAAAATAAAAAAATAAGGTATTTGGCCAAGCTTTTGAAAGGAAAAAATACTTTTGAGGAGAAGCAAAAACAGTTTTTGAGAAGAAGAAAAAAGTAGCTTTATTTAAAATACTTTTTTAAAAAATACTTTTTGAGAAAAATACATTTAGAAACACTTTTTAAAAGTTTGGCCAAATAATGATTGCTACTACATATTAAAATAAATTAATTTTAGAAGTTTGGCTAAACATGCTTTTAAGATATGATCCAGGCAAACATAGTACTTCATAATGATCTCAAAAACTTTCATGTATTATAAATTCTTACCACCTTGAAAATGATCTTCACATATTGTCATTCATGGTACCAAATCGTGTATCAACAAACTAACTTCATTTGGTCAAAGAACTAAGTACCATAACAATCTTATCCTAATAATAAATATTACTACCTAATCATAATATGTACGTTAGACACAAAACATATTATGAGATCATGATCATATATTTTTATAACATTTAAAGATATTAAATTTCGTTAAATCACAAAGAATAGAGAATATAAGAATTAGCAAAGAAGTTAAAATTAAAGCAGATTTTTGTCACTTACTTCCTGAACCATCTTCTAATTTGGCACGATCAGAATCCGATTAACATAGCTAGGCAGCATTATGTTGCCAACTTACTCTAATTCGTTCAGATTGTAACTCATTGATTAATCAATGAAACTTACCATTGATCTGCACTCAATTTAATTCTGATCTTTGTTCAAGAACATTACAAATTCCACTGACCAATTCTATAATTTGCTTCCCTCGAGATTTTTTTTTTCTTAGTTCAAAAATTACAATCGCATCAAACGCATGATTCTCACCCTTCATCCACGTACCAGACTAATCTCTTTTACGCTTACTATTGTGCTCATCCTCTTGTCGCACAAAACAATTTTTGGGCATTATTCCGGAATACATAACAGTAGTAACAAATATACTAGTATATTTGTATAGCACAATTCCACCCAACCCCTCTCTTCCGTTCTCGCCGTCAAGTTTCAACGGAGAAAATAGTAGTAATTACCATCTTTGCTACCACTTTCTGGAATTGAAACATTAAATGTCTCTGACAAAGCATGTCCTATTTTGTTACCAACCTCATAGCAGATCCAATGAAGTGGTATATGTCGAGGATTTTAAGATGGAAAAGTCTTAAAAAGAGGGTGAATGGGAAATGGAGGAAAAATGAATTTTTTGAGTAAAATTTTAAGTTTCCTTTCTCGAAACATTGTCCCATATTGGAAGAGGAAAATGATTTTGGTGGGTATATATACAATGGCTCTTCTTGTAGCTCTTAAAGAGTTAAGAAGAAGGCAAGCCTCGCGCCGTCGTCGTCGCTCGGCTCGGCTACGGCTTCGGTCAAATGATTGATTGATTAATTTTTTGGACCAAATTTATTTGTTAATAGTAAATATTAACGTAATATTATCCGTGTTTGTAACGGATGTGTTCCAATCCGTGGATTTGTTCCAGCATGCTAATGCGTCTCCCACCATTGCCAAATGCTTGCTCCATAATAGCAAGTGATTGCTCCATTAGTTAGCAGCCTGGTGCTCCGTCCACCATGGCCAAGTGCTCCACTAAATGAGTGGCAGCGAGTCCGTGTTTAGCAGCTAACTGCACTATAAATAGATGGTGCAAGCAGCTTGTTGAAGACACAGAAAGAAATCGTTCCTCTTCAGTTTACACAACTACTGATATCCTCTTCAGTAAGAACTCAACAT